CCCGGAGCGCGACAATGGGCGGACGGGCGGTGCCAAGCGTGGCGACGACGCCGGTGCGCGTGACCAGGTGGCGGAACCCGACACCCAGGGCGTCCAGCTCGTTGCGGGCGAGGCGCGCGTAGGAGGAGAGCTTCACGTCGAGGTCGCCCTCCAGCTTGCGCGCCTCACACCGCAGCTCCTCCCACTCGGACTCCTGCAGCTCCAGTGCCACGGCCGCATCCGATGATGACGACATCTTCTCCGGCTCCGGCACCGGCACTGACAAAGCGCGAGATCCAATCCGGCGAGGCGTCCTGGGTCACTTGTGACGCGAAGAAGAAGTGGGGAAAGTGGGGAGTACCTCCGATCTAGATCCGGCCGTGGGGCCATGCCGTCGTGGGGAGCTTTGGACTCGCAAGGAGGGTGGGCGCCGCCAGTGTCACGGCCAGCTCCGGGCGGGCGCGAGCTGCGTGGCGGCGAGCTACGGGCGGGTGCGGCGGCGGTGCGGCCAGCTGCGGGTGGGCGACGATGGGGAGGCGGGCGGAGGAATCACAGGAGCGGTTCCCTTTTGTGCGGCGTGGACTCGCGGTGATCGCAGGGGAAGGCAGACCGAGGGAGAGAGGGGCACGCATGATTGTTTCCTTGTATGCATGATTATTGTTTCCTTCCATGTATGTGGCCTCAGGTGATTGATTTGTTTCCTTCAAAGCAGGCGGGGATCGTAGGGATAGTAGTTTCTTTTTCTATCGCGCGGGGTATCGCACGGCCGGAAGGGAGGAGCGACCCCAAAAAAAAGTCGCACCAAAAAATTGTCTTACTTTTGTTCTTTTTAGTCGTAGGAGATATATATAATATAGCTCTACGTGAACTGCCACTACCCTCTCCTACATGACCGCCTCCTCGTTCCATGTCCCTGGTGTTCAATCCATTTCTTCGTCCCCAGGATTTGGAACCTATTTGGTACATAGTATTAGTTTTTTGTAGCTAAATAAGTTAGAACTAAAAACCAAACAATAAGTTTTTCGACATCTTTTTTATAGCTGTGCTTGTCTCCATAGTCCTATTTGCATTAAAACACAAAAAACTAGGTCAAACTAGCTTATCCTTGACAATATTTTTTTTCTCTATTTATACAACTTTTCAGGGAAAAGTTTTCGAGAGAAGCTATCTCTATATATCAAAGAAGTTTGGATTGGTCGATGCTCAGGCTGGCCACGTCGCTCCAAAATCTCATGTCCGTCACATCTTTGGTTCAACGGCCCAGATCGCTTGGAGTGGATTTTTCCGGGAGCGGCTTCCCGATCTATTCCTTCACTTTCTCGGATTCCCTTCTGCTTCTCTTTTGCTTTAGCAGCTTCTCGTGTGAATCCGATCAGACATATATATATACACGGCTTCTGCTTCTCCTTGCTGAAACTTCTGTTTCCCGACCCTTCTTTTCTTCGTTCGATCTCTCGCTCTCTCCCCGACGCGGCCGGCGGCGACGGCGCCCTTCCCATGCACGACGCGTGCGCCCCCACGGCGGCCGTTCCTGGCCACGGAGCAGCACAACCGGGCCGACACGCTGGCCGCCGGCATGGCTTCCCCTCGGCGCTGCCTCCTCCCGCTGATCTGCTTGGGCTTGACAAAACCCTAGCTACCTCTTCCTCGCCGGCTGCGCCGGCGGTTCCGCTTGGCGACATAATCTAGCAGTATGTCACCATTTTCTTCTCTTCCCTCGTCTCATGGCTCCTACCCCAGATCCCCCCTCGCTGGAACCGGCGTTGGCGGCGGGCGGCGACCGCCGCCGTGCCGCCGCTCGCAGACTGCGCAGATTGCACAGGCGGCGTTCGCCAGCATGACGCAGCTAGCCCCCCGCGCTACAAGTGGTTTCCTCCGCTCTCTGCTGCATTACGGTGGCACCCCCCTCTGCTCCGTAAGCGCTTCTTGCCGTCTCCCATGTGAAGCAAGACCATCCCTCTCCTGTCTGTTGCCCCTATTGCGGTTTCCTCTGTGTTCCTCTTCTGATCTGTGCTGCAGGTTGACGGATTCATTCCATTTGTACAAGGAAAGCCAGGTGCTTACTCTTAATCTCCATTCCCATCTATCCATCTATTACTCACTACTGCACATATTTGTTACCCTGCATTGGGAACACCTGTGTAACTTTGATTCGCAGAGCTGCTCTTCGTTTTCATGGCAGTACACATTATTTCCCCGCTAATCCCCATCCCCATCTCCATATTGTTCAGCATATCAGTAGATCTATGAGTGGGTAGCGCTAAATCTCCTTTATGTCCTTTGCCGCTTGAATTACTTATTTAATTAATGCACTTGATAAAACTCATCTTCGTATCCAGGGATGAAATAATTCTGTCTTTAATTAATCATGGATATGCATGTTCCTTTTAGTTATCATTCTATCCCATGTGTTTTCCACCTTCACAGTGTTAGCTTGGTTGCGCTGCAGTTGCCATAGCAATGAGCCACAAAGTTTTGACTCACATTTTTTCCCTTCAATGTCTAGGTTTCGATGGGCATGGTTATAAAATAGTTGCATTTGTTCTGATGTAGATGGTTGTCGGCTTTTTGAAACAAAAAAATGTATGCTTAGTTTCTGGGCCATCTTCCCATAATTATGGAGTTACAATCTATTTCTCTTAGTGACATACTTCTTATATTAATACCTGGAGTGCAATATAGACATGTATCTACGTGTACTCTAAATTATACCACCTCTAGAATACAAGCTTTTGAGTGCTATATACATTTACAATGTTATCCTGCAATTTTCATGTAGAGTTCATTCCAATTTAGTTAGGACTGTAAAAGATATCGGTAAAGTTAAACCTTGCATATGATATCTATCTTACATCCTGGATTGTAAAATAGATATGGAGGAGTACTTGGCGCACGAAGATTGTGCCATGAAAATGAAATACTCCTCCTTCCTGCCTCAAAATCACAAGGAAATCACTATAAATTCTAGAAGCTGGCACAACATATCGCGTTATTTGGATGATTTCAGGACCTGCTATTGGCTATCAAAAGTTTGTGCAGGTTGAGAGCTTCTAAATGGTTGCTGAGTTTCTATATCTGCAACTTGATTAAAAAAAAAGGTAAAAGACGATATTCAACAGGCTATTAAAGGTCTTGTCTGCAAATTCTAGAAGTTGTCCGGACTACATATTAAGGAAGATGCATAAGTAACAATTGCAATTATAGGTTCCTCAGTTGTTTGCTTACTGAATATGCTTTTACCATGCGCGTCAGCCTCTTTATGAACTTTTATTTAACCTTGTCAATTGATATATGCCCTCGCTAAAGAATATGTTCTTGCCATGTGTACACCTAACAATGAGATGTCCCGTGTAATATATTATGTCCATATTAGATTATTATATTATTAATTATTTCATGCAGTATGAATTCTCAGCTCTATCAATATAGAATATTATCTATACAATTTCTCTCATTTTCTTATGTTCATTCATTTCCTTAAAATAGTTTGCTCTGTGTTGCATTTCAGCGGCTTTCTTCCTCTCAGTGCATTCATCAACTCATTTCCACAGGTTACCAAACAGGCTGCTACGAAAATTCAGGTTAATCATCATTTCCACAAAACATTAGGACTGCTACATTATATTCACATAAGTCTAACATGCTTCGACAATTGCACAAGATCATCCGTTCATATACAAATTACAGAAACAAGACAACGTCTTCAAATGACCCTCCGACAGAAACTACTCATAGGGTCTCCCTAACTAGGACCCAAAATAGGTAAATACATGGTGCCTGCTTAGTTTTCAGCTTAGTTGAGTTACCAAAGACAAGCCTACTTTTCATGTACAGGTTTTGTAATTATTAGTCTACAAGCTACTTAGCGAAAGCTACCCAAAGAAAACCATTTACTAATTCTGAAATCAGTTAATGACGGCCACATTTTAATGACTTTGTGCTCCAAATCATTCCATGAACATATTAAAAAAAATTCGTGCAGCTCCAATATATACCGTCCCCAGGCATGTAGCAGATTTTAGGAACTTCTTCGTTTGCTATAGACATGCTGCTGTATATCTATCATCTATTAATTGAACCATTTTTTTCCTCTCACCAGGTGCTGCAACCGAACAAGACGTCCACGGCATCATTTTGTGACCACTGCGTGGACAGTTTTCACAAACTTACCATGTAAAATGGTTTCTGTCAGTGTCTGCTTTGTTAGTCGGTGAAAAATGTATTAACTTTGCCAGACCTTTCGCATGTAATATATACATCCTACAGGTCCAACTTATTACATTCCCGAAAACAACAAATCATATATGGCATGAGAATTGTATATTAAAAAACCTGAGCTTTATCCCCTTACCGGCGCGCGGCCTTCACTAGTGGGGATTATACCATGTTCCTTCCGTCTACTACTTGTCGGCAAGGCGTGGAAAGCTCCTCGATCCCTCGTATTTCGTCATCCATAGCGTCAGCATCTTTTGGCCTCTTCTTAGTGGTTGCCTAGCAGGTCATAGAGACCTCCCCGTTTACTCAGGTCTGCAGCCAGCCCACACCCGCAAGCCGCCAGCAGAGACGCCGACACCTGCAGCGTCACGGCTGACGTTGGTGCCCCCGCACACACAAGTGGCTGATGTTTCACGGAACATACAGTAACATATAGCGTACGGTGCGTGCTGCGTGGTGATTCGTTCCATGACTTCACCCTCGAGAAGCAACGTATCCTATCCACCGCGCGAACGAGGCGATCATTGCCCAGACATCATAAATTGGTCAATCCAGGGCCCTACCAATACACATCATACATGACTTCAAATTCAAATGCATCTTGGATTTGTACTTTAATAACATCCGCGCCGGGCCGTTTTATACGCCATCGTCTGCGTCGCGAATTCCAGATTCCAAGAGACATTTCATTCACCAATCCAGCGCTCTCGAGCACACGTACCTGCGTAGGTCCGTCCCCGTAGTGTGCCATAGCGGCGGCAGCAGCAGCAGGGAGTTCTGAGTTCTGAGGTGTGAGTCGTCCAGCGATGAACAAGAAGAGCGTGCTTCTGTACCCGGGCCTCGGCGTCGGCCACCTGACGCCGATGGTCGAGCTGGCCAAGCTGTTCACCCAGCACGGCGTCGCCGTCACAGTTGCGCTCGCCGAGCCGCCCGCGCCGCGGCCTCCAATCCGTCCGTGAACTTCCACGTCCTGCCGCCGCCTGATTCCAGCTCGGATGACACGCATTCGGACCGCGTCGTCCAGATGCTCGGCTACCTCAAGGCCATGAACACGCCGCTGCGCGACCTCCTCCGCTCGCTGCCGAGCTCAACCTGCCCGTCTACTACTTCTACGCCTCGGGCGCCAGCGCGTTGGCCGTCTTCCTCAACCTGCCTCGCATGATGGCCACGGGTTTCCAGCTGGAGACCACCGGCGGCGACTCCGTGCTCTCTCTCCCCGGCGCTCCTCCGTTCAAAGCTTCAGAACTGCCCGAACTGATTCTGAATGGCAGCCAGGCAGGAAAAGCCGTCCTCCGCGTGCTCTACCTGTTCCCAGAGGCCAACGGGATTCTCGTCAACACCTTCGAGTCGCTGGAGACGCGGGTTGTGCGCTCTCTGAGCGATGGCCTGTGCGTTCCCGACCGTTCCACGCCGCCGGTGTACTGCATCGGGCCACTGGTTTCGGGAGGTGGAGACAAGGAGCACGAGTGCCTCAGGTGGCTGGACATGCAGCCAGACAACAGCGTCGTGTTCCTCTCCTTTGGGAGCTTGGGCACGTTCCCAAAGAAGCAACTTGAGGAGATGGCTATTGGGCTCGAGAAGTCAGGGCAGAGGTTTCTATGGGTGGTGCGGAGCCCACGAAACAACCCTGAGGTCTGAGGACATGTTGGGTCAGCCACTCCCGGAGCCAGACCTCAAGGCCCTCCTTCCAGAGGGGTTCTTGGAGAGGACCAAGGACAGAGGGCTTGTGCTCAAGTCTTGGGCGCCACAAGTGGATGTGCTACGCCATAGAGCGACCGGCGCATTTGTTACACACTGTGGGTGGAACTCAACGCTGGAGGGCATCATGGCAGGGTTGCCCCTGCTGTGCTGGCCACTGTATGCGGAGCAGGGGATGAACAAGGTGTTTATTGTGGAAGAGATGAAGATCGGGGTGGAAATGAACGGCTATGATGAAGAAATGGTGAAGGCAGAGGAGGTGGAGACGAAGGTTAAGTGGGTAATGGAGTCTCAAGGTGGGCGAGCACTCAGAGAGAGACTGGCGGAGGTAAAAGATAGAGCAGTCAAGGCACTCAAAGAAGGCGGCTCATCTCATGCTGCTTTTGTCGAATTCTTGAAGGATATCAATAGCATGGCTCATCTTCATCCCTAAGGGAGGCTCATATGAGGACACGACATGTTTAATTCATCGAATATTTCAAGGCTCGTAAAGACATATTCTCTTATATATAGGTCATACATGTAAGATCTTTTTATTTCACATACTCTCTCATGCCATCCATGTGATACACTAGTTACTAGTATCAATCAAACATGTCATTCGCCAAGAAAGCTGGTGGTGGCGTGACATGTTCAGCCCCGTGGAAAAGAGAGCCCTGGGCCGCCTATAATCAGCCCGCTTTCTGATAAAATTGAGCCCGTTCTTCGTTCTGCGCGGAGCATTGTTTGTCAAAAATCTGTGTTGAATAAATGATGACCTGTGACAGCCCGCAAAACACTACTGAACCCGGCCCAACCATAAATCATGATACAGTGTGGCTCTCCATCTCTCATTTATCTAGGAACTTTATTCTCCCCTCAAAAAAAAAAATCTAGGAACTTTATTTCTTACATAGATGCCCAACTCTAGCTGACTCCTTAGCACTTCATCTTTCTACTTACTCCTTTCGTTTCAAATTATAAGTCGCTTTATCGGTACATCTATTTTGCTATGCATCTAAATAAATAATATGTCTAGATACATGGCTAAATGGATGAAACAAAAAGTCAAAGCGACTTATAATTTAGAACGGATGGAGTACTATATATCTCTGATGGTAATAAAAACTTTTCATATTTACCTTTTTATAGTCTTCGATTCGACTTCGATACATATCTTTGTCCATATATATCTTCTAAGATATATTCTTAAAGTCCTTCAAATTTACAATATTTCTTTAAACAAATCTATACATATGTCCTGCGTGTCTTCAAAATAAAAGATCTAACAAGTTTATTAATATTATAGTTTTAAAGCTTAAGAAAATTTATCCTAAATAATTATATTCTTGTGAAGGAGGACTTTTCTAAGAAGAATCCTCTAGCCACAAAAACATAATTATTCACAATAAACTTCATCAATATAATATAGACATGTCGTGCGCATCCGTGCCGACTAATTCACACTCGTTCAACAAGGTTCATATGCGCTAGAAACAAAGACTAGGACAAAAGTAAGCTATATTTGTTCATAGCCCGTACTCCCACACAAGGCATCCACTAATCAAAGGCTATGAGTACATAGTCTCACCATCGCTACCCAACTCTTCCGGTCGGATGTTCCGCACCATCCTGCTGGCGTCACCATTATATTGGCCTTGGTCCGGCAATTATAGTTCGGCGGCGCATGGAAGCACGGCTCGATGGTAGCGGCGCGCCGGCACGGCGGGTCGGGCGACTTGCCATCGGCGGGGCTCATGATCACCCACGGTCTCATACCGACAGACCCGCTAGCCCCTGGCCGACGTATCCAAATGTCGAGACGGCGGTGGTGACCACCGCGTCCGAGAAGCTGAGCTGCACCATCTCCGCGAGGGCCTTCTGGTTGTGCTGCTGCTCGCCGGATTGCTGCCAGCCCAGTTGCGTCGTCTGGTACACGCTCACCACCTCCCCGACCGATGCTCCGTGCTCGTGGTACAGGTCCCTGAGCTTCTCAGAGTACTCGCCGTGCAGGGACACGACGAGTACGGCCTTCTGTTTTGTCGGCTGGCCGCTGGAGCGCCCGGCGGCGCTGGTGGTTTTGTCGTCCGCGGGCACGCCGATGCCGGGCAGGATGTCCTCGCGTTGGGAGCAGTTGAGGATCTGGCCGTAGAGCTCGTCGGTGGAGATGGCGGGCGCCCACCACGGGAACTTGCGCACCTGGATGACTGGATCCACACGCGCTCGTCCGCCTTGGTGAAGTAGGAGTCGTGGTATCGCGTCACCATGTCCCACACCGTGTTGCTCGGGCTGAACAGGTAGCGGCCAAGGTGATGGAACACGACGTCGCGGCGCGGGAACATGCGCGCGAGCTCCAGCTCGTGCCGTGGGATCAGGAACAGCCCCGGCACGATGTAGTTGTCCGAGAGGAACACGAGCCACGGCACGCGCCTCAGCTGGGCCTGCACGTCGTCGCAGAAGAATAGCTGGTCGTGGTAGCCCCGCTGTAGTCGTGCGGTCGTGCCATAGGTGCACGTACACGTACACGTACACGTACAACCATGGCGCCGTGCCGGGATCCTCGCGCGCGCCTCAGCACGGAGCCGAGGCTGTCGTGGTGGTTCCGGTCGGTGAGTCGTTCGATGCCACGGTTAGGGAAGTCCTTCTCTGCTGGCAGGATCCAGTGGAGCCCGGGAATGGCTCGCAGAAGAGGTCGTCGCCGCTGCGGTGGAGGAGCACGCGGTCGGCGGTCGGGTTCCACACGACGTAGCTGCACCCTGAGGTAGTAGAGGCGTTCGGCGGCGAGCGAAGGCGTTCGACGGCGCGGGTAGGCAGGGGTGCCTGGGCCGCAGCGGCGGTGCAGCGACTTGTAGCGGCGGAGCGCGGAGACGAGGCGAGAGGAGATGGCGTGCAGTGACGGCCGGCGGCGGTAGAGCGCGGCGCGGTAGCGGCTGAGGCAGGAGCTGTCATCGAAGTCCGGGGAGAGGAGGCCGCCTAGACGCCGGTCGCGGGGATCCGGCACTGTCGCCAATGGACCGGCACCTTGGTCGGACGTTACAAAGCAGCATGCAGACAAGGAGATCAATTAATTCGAAAAAAAGAAATCAATTAATATGCATCTTAAATTTCATGGACGTGGAATGGGAGTCGGTTACAGTTTCTTGCTTATCACATTAATCGAAAAAAAAACAGTTTTGCGAAGACAGGCAATGACAAAATTATCAGCGGCAAGCATGTTGCTGATTTGATAGGTGATAAAAGCCTAAAACACATTCGCGATAAAGATGAGTATGTTGATGACAAAGGATGCTATATGATGTATGCATCGCTTGCCACCTGTTATTGGCAAGCGAGCAGCACAGTCACGAAGCCGTGCGCAACTACGTGCGCGTACGGCGTACGTTCCGGTGTTCAGGACGACGCGTACTCCCGCCGGCGCCGAGTGATACGAACCCAGTTAGCTATTGATACATGATAACCAAATGATCGAATCCGATATACAAGAATGGACGGATTTAGGGTAGGAAGAACAGAGCTCGGGGCAGAGAAGCAAGAACAGAGTTCGGGACGGGAAGACAGCAACAGATTTAGTTGGAGTTCAGGTACAACGGGTTCGATGCCATGCACAGCGAAGCCACAGGCTTATATGCGTGCACTCGGCTGACGGCCCACCAAAGCGCAAGACGGCCCAAATAGATCCGCCGACGGCCCATACGCTCAGCTTAGCTCTTCTTCTTTGCGCCGCTCCTATTCTTCTTCCCGCACATAACAGTGCCCACTCCTTCAAGTCCAGCTTGCCCCCAAGCTGGAGCATCTGGGTAACGTCGTCGAAGATCGAACACTTCCTCCCAGGTTAACAGCTTCTCTAGTAGTCCTTCCCACCGAACCAGCAACTCAGTGTGAGTAGCCGTACCTGTCTTGGTCAGGCGAGAATCAATAATATGAACAGGAGATAATACGGAAGCTGGATCCACCAGATCTTCTAAAACCACCACAGATGGTGGCACATGCTTTTTGAGCTGGGAGACATGAATCACTAAATGTATCTTTGCTGTAGGTGGCAGATCCAACTTGTATGCCACAGCACCAACTCTCTGAGGTACTTTGAATGGTCCGAAATACTTGTATGACAACTTCTGATTAGCTCTATTTGCCACTGTTGTCTGAATATAAGGCTGAACTTTCAAATACATCAGATTCCAACCTCAAATTCCCTTTCAGACCTATGACGATCAGCTTGTTGCTTCATTCTATGACTGGCTCGAGTCAACTGCTGCTGAATGACGTGATTCAGAAGCTGTCTTTCAGAAAGCCACTCATCCAACTCACTTGGGTGACATACATCAGAGTTGGTGATACCAAAATGCCTCAAGACACTGGTTCAACCTCTCTGTTTGACCATCGGACTGGGGATGGTATGATGAGCTCATATGCAATTGAGTATCAGTCAGCTTAAACAAGTTCTGCCAAACATTGCTGGTGAATATTTTGTCTCTATTAGAAATACGCACTTGTGGCAACTCATGCAGTCTATATACATTGTCCAAGTATAACTGTGCAACCTGCAATGCAGTGTATGGATGTGCCAAGAGAATGAAGTGGCCATATTTTGTGATTTTATCAATGATCACCGGAATAAAATTATATCTGTTTGATGTCGGTAACCCTTCCACAAAGTTTAAGCTTACCACAGACCATGCCTGATCTGGAACAGGTAGAGGTGCTAGTAATCCAGGCAACTTGACTCTTTCAGTCTTTGCCTGTTGACAGACTGTGCACTCTTTGATAAATTTCTGAATTGTTGCCTTCATTTCTGGCCAAGCAAATAAGGATTTAATTCTGTGATAAGTTGCATGAAAACCAGAATGGCCCCCAATTCCACTGCTATGTAATGACTGCACAATATGTTGTTGTGCCAAAGAATTATTGCCAATCCATATCCTACCCTGATGCCTGATTACACCATCACATCAACTAAAGAATAACCATGGTCATCAGATTTTTATCAAGGCTAATTTCTCCAACAGCTTTACTGCCTAGGAATCATCCTGATATCCCTCAATCAAATTGGTGATCCATGATGGAGTGCAGACAGATAATGCTGAGACTGTATGAATTGGTGTGCACCTAGATAAAGCATCTGCTGCAACATTTGCATATGCCTATTTATACTGAATCTTAAACTGTAGATCCATCAGCCTGAGGAGGGCCTTGATATGCAATTTTGTATGAGCTCTTTGTCCAGTAAAAAATAGAAGACTCCTGTGATCAGTCTTGATAACAGATTCCTGGTGCTGGAGGTATGATCTCCACTTATCAACAGCAAGTATAATGGCCATGCATTCGTTTCCATAGGTTGAAAGCCCTTGATTCTTTTCGCACGCTGGTTTACTAAGATATGCAACTGGATGTCTTTCTTGCATGAGTACTGCCCCAAAACCAGTGTCACAAGCATCAGTTTCAAGAACAAACAAT